ATTTGCAGTGTAATTTAGTTATTTTCAGCACTAAGCTTTAAAATTGGTATCATTGCATTTGAATTAATTATTTCAAGAAAATTATATTGCTAATCGTTCGACTATATAGGGTGTCTCAGAATATCTAGACAATCGCCAGGTTTCAGATAAAACACATAAAGATTACATGACAAATCCTATACATTTTATTTACTACGCACACCCCTAGAAATAGTTTTTTATAATTTTTAAAGTACTTAGTATAATTTAGTGTCAAAAAAGCCATATCAACAAAGAAGGACTTTTATGACCATAAACAGCAACCAATGCAAAAAATCATACTAAATCATCTTTTTTCTTTTAGTTTAAGATTTAAGCTGTACAAAAATATTATTATTGTTCCTTCATCATACAGGGTGTATAAAAATTAGGATTATGTTAAGCTCTCCTGTTCCTGATAAACTAAATAAACCAAACATTTGTAAAAAGGTGTATTTTAAGGACTTTTAGTATTCAAAATTATTAAACAACACAAACACAGTTTCTATGGACCCGTATCTATGTAGACGTAGAAAAAAATTTATAAGAACTTGTCAAGTTATTTTTGTATCTCATCTGAATCCGGAAAATTTTTCACATATTCTTTGACTTATATTCTTTTTTTTTAGTACGCTTTGTAGTTTAAATGTGCAGTATGTCCCCCTAGGTTGGAATCATATGGAAAACTTTTATTATTAATTTTAGGAAAAAAAGTTCTTCATAAAAAGTTCTGCATTATCTAAAACCTAGAATACAGTCATCAAATATCAAATTTTTTCAGTGGTATACGGGGTTTGTCAAAAAATATGAGTTACTCAAGAGTAAAGTACCTTTATTCTTTATACGACTGACAAAATTCGATATCTGATTATTGTATTTTAGGTTTTAGACCATGCTCGACTTTTTATAAAGAATAACTTTTTTCCAATAATATGCCACCAATTTACCTTGGTGGCATAGGAAAGCATGGTCTAAAACCTAAAATACAACCATCAGATATTAAAATTTATCAGTCGTATAAAGAATAAAGGTACTTTACTTTTTTTTTGACAAACCTCGTATACCACTGAAAAAATTTGATATTTGATGACTGTATTCTAGGTTTTCGATAATGCAGCACTTTTTATGAAGAATAACTTTTTTTTCTAAAATTAATAATAAAAAAGTTTTCCATATGATTCCATACTGTATATATCCTCTGTCAACAAAGTACAAAAAATAAATATTACTGCTATATTTATTATAAATAATAAATTATAAGCTAATTAGAAATGAAATATTTACTTAAACTAGGTAATTTGAAAATGCTTTAATAGCGCAAATAAAAAGGTTATTATTGTTTACTAGAAACACGACCTTTCACAGCTTAGTGATTCTGTAAACTATTAATTATTTACAGGGGAAAATCATGAACGTCGCCAGAGTTAACAAAAGGAAATATTTTCATCCAAACACGTTTTTTTTTTGTATTATTAGACAAATACAGCATTCCATCTTCCGTCTACATTCCCTATTTCAACCGCACTCGTCCCGTTTAGTAATCCTTCAGTTTAACAAATGGTACTTCTCAGACTAGATTGCCAGTAACTTGTCCGTTGCTACTTCTCATATCCCCCGCCCATTCCCAATTCAATCCAAATTTATATCCCACAAAATTTATACACTCACAATTCACTATTTCTTTTTCCTCGCTCTCGTCGAACCGGTGGTGCTTGTGCGAGTTGGAGCACACCTTGCTTTTTTCCATTTCCCAATTCTTTTGCCAGCGATCCTTCTTTCGCTTTCGGTCGTCGCGTAAAGAATAATATTTATTTTTACAGATGGCTCTAAAGGTCACTACAAAATTAGATGAGATTATATCCTACCGACTGCGCCAAAGTATTACAGAATACGCTCTAGTATCGATTACATAAAAACGAAATTAAATTAAAATCGTACCTAAATGAAAAGGACTGTACTTTCAGATTCGTAGTGTATGAAAAATAAACAGAGACCAATAATATATCTGTTGATATGTAATGTAAATGGGGATAAAGCGGCATCGTTAATAATATATAAGGTCAATCGCTCCACCCCAAATAGCTTTTCCAGCATAATTTATGCTGCTATCAAGAAAGGCTGGTCTCTTAAAGACATTGATTACGGCACTTGGTTCAGAATGTCCTGTTTTAATCAATTATGATGATCATTTAACCCATATAAGTTTGGAAATACTTTAAGCAATAATTCAGAATAATACTTCTACCGCACAGTGGCCATTTGTTAATATCTTGTAGATCTCTCTGTTGATCGACTTTGACTATTCAATATAAAATGGGATAAAAAATTAATCTCTTGTACACAACAATATGGGTGATTCTCGCCTAACTGTGATTTTTACAACTTACATTTTTCTAAAATTAAAAATGTTTCAAAACGTATGTTTTACGCGTTTTTGTTTTCTATTTATGCATAGAAATAAGCCTGTAAAGTGGTTCTACTACAGCTACGACACAACGAAAACTGTGACAAAATTTAAAAATTTTAATGCCACGGTACTGACATTATTTCCACGGTACTGACATATAAATGATTATTTTTTTTTACCAATCCAAAGATTGGTATAAAATTGCAATAAAATTCAATGCAGTATGCATTAGATTGTAGTTATAAGAGGTAAATATTATATTAAAAAATGAATTTTGATAGAAATTTATATATTTAATTTTAAAAATGAGAATCGTACATGCCACGGTACTGACATTTCGAGTATATTTATATGCAGCTTAAAAAAAAATTACGAAGGTTTATGATCTAATTCATAATGTCGATTGTAAAATACCTCTAAATTTATAATATTATTAACTTTTTGATGAGGAAAACTTATGCTAAACGATAAATAAAACACTGGACATAAAAAATCACAGTTAAGCGAGAATCACCCATATGTCGATCGTAAACTACGTAATTTCTGTGCCACCTGTAAAAATACTTCAACAAAACTTGCAAAGAAGGTGGACTTAGAAAAAAAGAGTTACTCATTTTACCAAAAATGTTATTCCAGATGAAGCGTTCCCACTCCATACAAACTTTCACCCCTCGTTCCACCCCCCTTGAAATGTAAAAATAATCCAAAAATCCTGAAACACATCATTGTCTTTTTGCACAGTGGCTGTAATTCAAATCTTAATGTTTCTAACTTGAAAGAACAAAGACTTTCATATAAATGTCCCCCTCATTTCATCCCCATTTCAGTGTTTTCGAAATATATTATACCTTATACTGAACTATCCTTATAAATTGCTGAAACGTGTATATAGTTCCCCTAAGTGGGTAGAATTGAGTATTCTAAAAAAGAAGTGTGCTAGTTAACTCTACTACTAATTATACCAATGTAAACCTAGTTTTAGAACTGAAAACCGACCTCTACCCACTCAAAGCACAAACAACTATTTTCTTTAACTAGTAGATTCTGTTTTTGACCGCTTATTAAATGGAATTAACTGGAATTTATATCGAAATAATGGGTGAAAATACAATCCGTTTTGTACCGAATAAGTGACCTTGGTACTCAAAAACTATTTATCGATTAAATAGCAGAAAAGAAATAGCTGAAAAAAGTACTTTGTAAACCCAAAATATCGACATTATTATCATTTATTATTACCAGAAGAACTAAACATGTTATGGATATTTTTTGTCTTATGAGCTAAAGAAATCCAATATAAAATAAAAACTTACCGATTTAATTGTTGTATCCTAAGCTGTCTATGTCGATGGACACTTTAGAATTATCAAAAAAGGGAATTGCACAATTAGTTCTTTAAAAATATATCAATATTTAAATTTAAAACCGGTTTTCATAATATAAAACTTTCTGCGTCTTAATTTTAAAATGTTTGACGTTTGAAAAATTCACGAATGTCAAACAATTCATTCTTCTTCTTCTTCTTTTTTGTTAGATTGTTTATTAGTTACTCGTAGAAGTAGTAGGTGTAATGAATCAGATCTGAGAGGAAAGGTACAACCGTACAATGAACAGTGCCGTACCGTATGGAAGGGGTCACATATTGTTAATTATTATAGTGTTAGTTAAAATCTAAGGACGACATGAATTTAAAAATAGTCTTTTGTGCTGTAGATTTTTAACTTTAAAAATTGTATAGAATTCTTCTTCTTTCTTGTCAGATTGATTCCTTGTAGGAGTAGTGGGTGTAATGAATATCTAGACTGGACGGGGAGAGAGGAATGCACAACAAACCAAACAAAGAACAGTGCCGTACTGTATGAAAAGAGTTATATTGTTAATTACTATAAGGTTTTAGATGTAAGCTAATGGACGTCATTAATTAAAAAATAGTCTTTTTTGGTTTAAATTTTCAACTTTCTGAATTGTATATAATTATTCTTTTTTCCAGATTGGTTACTCGTAGAAGTAGGGGGTTTAAAGAATATCTAGACTTGACAGGGAGATATAAAAGGTAAAACAAACCGTACAACGAACAGTGCCGTATCGTTTGGAAAGGGTCATATATTATTAATTATTACTATAAAGTGTTAGATGAAAGCTAATGGACGACAAGAACTTAAAAATAGTCTTCTATGCTGTAAGTTTTTAACTTTTAGAATTGTATTTCATATTATTTTAATGTGATACTACATAGGCCATGTATATGCTTGTTCATTTAGTACTTTTAGCAATTCATGTCAATTTTGTGTAACTATACCTTTTACAAAGCTTGATTGATGAAGAGGAAGAGTAATTAAAACAAAATCTGGTCACGAACCAGTTTTCTATGTGTCGAAAGAAGAAAATGTACTACATTTCAAACCCTATCTTTCTTTATGAACTAAAATACCAGTTAAAACAAAACATTTTATTTATGAACGATAAATAATTTTAAATACATAAATGAAAGTTGTTTACTTTGTGTTTATTAAACTACAGCTAGAAGACATCAGTTTTGACCTTTTTTTCACATTGAATAGTATTTTGGACACCTCTGTCAATGCCCATACATTAAAATAACCTGTTTCTTCAATTATTATTTATATCAAGAAATAAATCAAATTCTAGCACGTTTTTTATTACGCCCATGGTTAATATCTACAGTATTTACATTTTATGAGATTGACATTGACATAATGCACCTTTCAAAAAGGACCAATCACTTTTATAAACATTATTTTTTATTTAAACAAATAAAACTAAAAATTTTCTGCGTCTTAATTTGATCTACTTTGTAACTGATGTGTAGAAGACACAAAAATACCGAATGCGACGTTGCCACTTTTTAAAATTATTCTAAAATTAACTGAATATAAGGAGTTTGGAATTTCATAGTTTCTGAAAATTATTTTCATTCTGTTTAATGTCCTCAAAATTATTTTCCGCAAAAAATGTCCAATTCTAATTGGGAAAAGGCAACCTATGTTACTTCCATATCTATTGCCAAAATCGAAATTAAATTTGTTTTCTTCTTGCAATGTAGTATCAGAATTACTTTAGGGCGGGCGGCGTGGGTCTTTCTCGAGTAAGTATTTATTATTAAACAAAAACAAAATTTTTGTCTTTATAAAAATAAATAAAATAATGTAAATTAAAGTACTTACCACTTAACCACTACACTTCGAATGATGGTTAACATCTATTATTTAAATTAAAATTAGGTACACTTTTATGAATTAAACCTATATTTCAATCAATAATTTGCTTATATTTTAAATGATAAAAATGGCTGAAAGGATACATATTTGACGAATGAGATCTTGCTTATTTTTTCCAAAATATATATTCATAAAATATTTACAAAAGGCATTTATTATCTAAATTATTTTATTTTGATGTTTATGACCACATTAATCCTTCAAATAGACTAAAATCATCATCTTCCAGTCCAGGAAACTAAAACAGACATATTATATTTATAAAAAAAAATATTTTTCGATAACCAAATAACTTCCAGGATATCGAGGTATGAACTTAAATCCATTTAAATTAATTTTTTTGCAAACATTTACTCATATCCTTTCTACAGTAGAATGAAACCTTCTTACAGATTATAAAATTATCGTTTAGTTTCTTACCTCAAAATTATTTCTAATAGAATTTGGCATAGTGCAAATGAAGCATTCCATGTAAGACACTCCTGAATTTGGTGCTGTACATTCGCAGTCTATGCACTGCTTTGGCGTTGCTGTCCTTGCAACAGCCTTGGCAAATACCGTTGCAAACTTCTTAGAATTCTTCTTTTCTGTCTCCAAAAATTTCGCGCTAAATATCGTACCTAACAAACAAAAAATTATTTAAATCAAAAAAATATATCCAAAGAGTCACGTGGGAATCACATGTTCTAACTGAATAGAAGTTTTAAAAAACGTAAAAGTGAGGTTAATAATAATTCCCCACAATATAATGAAAAATCTATGAAATTATATACAAACAGGGTGATTAATAAATTTGACGAAATTAAACTTTTATTGCCGCGATAAAAAGCTACAGCATGACGCACTGCGGAGCGGGGTAATTTAGCTAATTAAATATTTTTGATGGTGCTGTTTGTCTTGCAGGTGAGGAAAACCCGAAAAACCTCACCCACTATCACTGCGATTTGTAATATAGATGCCATATCAACAGAAATCAAATTATTGCTAATATGGCACCCATCAAGTCGTATACCGAAACATGAAAATTATTTAAAATTGAACATGCTCCATCCTAGGATTCAAAACGGCTATCATAAGACCTATGCTAATATATGGTGCAGTTGTCTGGGTACCGAAAACCCAAAAATTAACAGCTATCCGTAAACTAGCACAAATTCAAAGAACAGCATGTCTCAATATAACAGAAGGCATGAAAACACACCGACCAAAGCCATGGAAGTCATTCTTAGTCTCACTCCCCTTGATATTTACATCAAGGAGATTCTTCTGACGAAAATGATATGCCTCCGCACAGTTGGAATAGAACCTGATGTAGGATCTGGTGAGGCGAGACGCCGCTTTTGGCAGGAGGCGCTCGATGCGCTCCTACTGCTTCAAGCGAACATTGACTCCATCGCACCGAGATATATCTTCCATAAGCCATATAAAGTTATAACAGAATAGAAGAGCCGGAAGTGGCAGGTACGATTCATATCTACATCGATGGTTCTAAATTCTAAAACAAAACAAGGCTCAGGATGTGGAATATACTCCAGATTATTAAACCTAAATATAAAATGGGTTGTAAGCAATAGTGCCAGTGTAGTTCAAACAGAGCTAACGGGGATTCTCATAGCAGCAAAAGAAATCACCAGAAAGAATATCACTGAAAGGAACATGCTCATTTATACAGATAGCAGACAATCACTACTCACCCTGAACAGACCACGAATTTACTTAGAGTTAGTACTAGAATGTCACGTAGCTTTGACCAAAGTATCCATCAATAATGTGGTCACCTTAAGATGGATCAAAGGTCACGCCACATCTAAAGGTAACCGTCTTGTTGATTCACTAGCCAAGAAAGCAGCCAACCAAATACTTTTTGGACCTGGCCCTTGTATTGGCCTGACAAAATCGGTAGTGACAGACCTAATTAAAGAACATTCCCTTGTGAAATTCAAGGAAAGATGGGATAAAACAAGACACTGCAGAGTTATCAGGGAGCTCTTAATTTATCCTGACAACACTGCAAAACACAAATACTTGACTATGACTAGACAGAATCTGCGCCTAGTCACAGGCATTCTGACGGAAGCATCTCCATATCAAGGGGCTGTCAGAAACCGCACTCTGCAGAGTGTGCGAACAAGACGATAAGACCATCGAGCATATCCATTACGATTGCTCGACGCTCTCATTTATTAGAAGAATTGTGTTCGGCGAGTATCGGCTAACACCTGCCGTTATAAGAGAATCATCTCTTTGCGACGTTGTCAACTACATTAAATCTGTAGGCTGGCTCATGAGCTAGGATGTGCCTATGATCTTAGGAGGATGTACAATGGGCCTAGTGAGGCCTAAGTGCCACCCTCCACGTTACAGATACAGAGATCCTAGGATTCGAACCCGTGTTCGCTATACCTCTGAAAGAGTCCGTAAATGAATACAGCAACTATTGACTTCTTGATAAAGATGTCATTGGTAATAAAAATAAACTCCTTATTTTGTATAAAACCATTGAGAGTTAATATAAACGAAGACATGTTCATGTTGTTATAGTTTCAAAGTAAATATTTTACATTTTATGCTCTCCTGAAAATTTGGCAAAAGTGAAATACGTCGTTGTTTGTTGGAGGTATCGATATGATGAACGAGTATGTTGGGGTAGATAAGATTATCAAGTGTGATATCTAGGGTTGAGGCATGAGTTTATTTTATGTTTAAGTGTTTTTTTGGAAATCGAGATGATTAATTGTTTTTTTATCAGAAAACGTTGTACAATAGCGAAAAAAAAAGGAAAGAGTACCTTTTTTGCTTGGAAATTAATTGTGATTAAGAATTTTAAAAAAATTGGATAATTTTACACTGAGAAAAAGTTAGTTTATAAAAATCAGTGTTGCTCTCTATTATAAACCAAAGACTGATGATGTTGGAACAATTTTAAAATATGTGCGATGCACGAGGCAAAGATACTAGTATAGAACACAATTTAACAAGCTGAACTTATAAATATTATATAAAGAAAAGAAAATTGAAAGCATTATAAATACCATACCGTAGAAAGAGATTTACGTACATATAGCTTTTACATAAATAAAAAAGAGTGGGTGTATGACATCCAAAAACCGTTTTACATAAAAAAATAAGAATGAATAAAAGGCATATTCTTTAGTAACTGTAATACCGTTTAAATCGGCATCTCAACGTATTTAGTATCTGAGAGCATCTCAACTACTACAATATGTGAGACGAGTAGATAAAAGCAAGGGAATTTAATGTAAAAACAATAAACTTATTTTTAAATCTCTATAAAATAAAGATGATCTTTTGTTAGATGAGCGGATTCTATCCTCGACTTATATTACACGATGTTTTAAATAAACGCTAGTTTTCTAGAGTCAGACCTTTTTTAAATCGATCAATTAAATGAAGAAAAAAACTAGTGATGAAAATGAAAGTTAAACAAAATAGAGTAATTTTAAAAACTTAATAAAATTTATATAGTTTTTGATTTATTCAAAAAAAAAAAACTAAAAATGGTCATTTACACTGTAACAGTTTTGGCAGTTTTTAAAAACTTTTCTGAAAACCATGCAGAGTCTAATTTCATTTTTAGGCTATCCTCATGCAAAAGCACTGACAACATACAGTCTGTTCGCTATACTTACGCACGTTTCGGATTAACAAAATTATGCAAATTAGTCATTGACAACCAGTTCCAATAAGCCTCTTCCCAAGAAATTAGGTCAAATTGCTCTAATGGTCAGATTTAAATTAAAATAACATTAGGGTAGGTACTAAATTTGTTACAAATATTGCAGTTGAATTGATTCTTTACAAGTGTTGACATTGTATGTATATAGTAAATTTAGTGGAAATTTTAAAAATGCCTAGACGTGTGTTAGATGTAGATAGTCTAATTTGTAGTGTACATACGTATTTTACGGATGAAAAAGAAAATGGCGGTCCTTTAAAATCGGTAATGTCTGTACAACAACGCGTATGCGATGCTTTAGGAATTAGTGAAACCAAATTAAGAGGAGTATTACAAAATCACAATATTGAACTGCCGAAAGATCACCGCAAACTCGCCCATCATTGAAAACGAAATATATTCCAGATGGAAAGAAATTTGAAATTCGTGATACCATTTATCGAATGAGGGCCAACAAGAAACATGTGACCTTAAATACAATTCTCTCGGAATTAATAGATAGAAAATTTGACGACATTGGCAGAACAAGTCTATGGCAAGTGATACATAACTTGGGTTTCAAATTTCAAAAAGAGGATAACAGAAAGGCCCTTTGTGAAAGAAGTTCTGTCGTGCACAAGAGAATTAATTTTCTAAGAAAATATTTTAAATTTAAAGAAGAAGGGGCGAATTTTATATATTTAGACGAAACATGGATATTTTCTAGGGGTGCAACCAAGAGAATATGGCAAGATGATAACGTAAAGTCCATCAAACATACCGATGGAGAAGGGAAGCGACACATAATTTTACATGCAGGAGGGAAATCGGGTTTTATAGAAGGTGCTGATTTAATATTTTCATCCAAATCAAAATCCAGTGACTATCACGATAATATGAACACAAATGTTTGTAAAATGGTTGCATGAAAAACTTCTTCCAGGTTTAAGTGAGCCCAGCGTAATTATTTTACACAATGCACCTTACCATTCTGAAGTATTAAACAAAATTCCAACGAATTCTTGGACTGTTGATAAAATTAAAGAATGGTTGACAAAGGAACATACCATTTCCTCAATATATATTAAAATCAGAATCATTACGCTTGGCAGATATACACGCAAAACCAAAAATCTTTGTTGTGGATCAGATTATTGAAAGTTACGGTCATCAAGTTTTACGTCTGCCAACGTATCATTGCCAGTTTAATCCCATCGAATATATATATGGGGAATAGCAAAACAATATTATGACAACCATATTGGGACTAATGGTTATAGTGACGATGCAGTTCGGGAAACTTGGCGAAAAGCACTTTCAATTGCAACTCCAGAAGTGTGGCGGAACTGTATATTCAAGTGCGAGAAACTAATAGAAGATTGGTGGACTCTTGAAAATAAAATAAACGAAATAAGTCCAATCATAATAACAATTAATGGTGATGACAGTGATGATGATGACGATTATGATATTTTGGATGATAATGACTGCTTTTAATTTTTGTTGGCAAGTTAAATTTTTTTATTTTTCATTTGAAATTTTCTACATGGAACAAATTTTTATGTTAGAAAATATTTTATTTGTGCTAAATAACCCTCTTATTATACATAGACCATATTGTCTGTGTGAAGTGTAATATAAAATTATTATTAGGTTTATAATAGCCACATTAGACTCCATTAATAAAGAAGTTTAATTCTGCTCTCAATTATACAAAAGATTCTCCATTATTATTTAATTAAAAAGTTGTACATTATTTTTCATTTCATTTAACCAGTTGATATTTCCCCAAAGAACAGGTCAAACTTTCGGGTACTTACCTGGAAATACTCATAAAATTTTTAATCCAAAACCCGCGTAAGTATAGCGAACAGACCGTAGCTGTCCACGCCAGTGGTTTATTATTTGAAATAAAGTGATCCCAAAATATTGTTGTTACATATATTCCAAATTCCCTTTTGTTCTGTGTCCTGTTGCTACGGTATTCGAAAATCGTTTTCATCTGATACTTATTTATATTTTACTTAAATTTTGTTAATATAAGATCTATACGAGTCTCCTGGTATAAAATAATCAACAGGAACAAATCACAAATAAAATCTCAAAGATCAAGGGTTGGAAGAGTGGACTTACATTCTTTATAAATTTATTATACGCCCTGGCAAAGTCTTTGATATTATAAATTTTCCATTTACTTACCATTGGTTTCCAGAGACAGAGACAGACAAAGACCTAAAGTGGGTTTGGGAAGCATGATTGATTTCCTAAGTGCCTGATCTCCCGCAAGACTTTTTACATCGCGTTTGGTGTATGCGAATCGCCTGTCGATACCTGGAAAAGGTGTAAATATAAATACATTTTTAATTTATCATTTAAAAGTTTAATTTAAAAAAAAAAATATGTATTAAAGATGAAATTTCACACGCATATAGTTTTTTTGAACTTTCTAGAAACAAAGTACTCAATCAAATACATTGTAATAAGATGATGACCTATATATTTTTATATCTAGCGTTTACAGTGGATTTTGATCACAACGCCATGCAAAAAGGAGTGTGTCTCCCCAATATTTAAAATATAATTTTGGCCCTTTTAGAGCGTCTCCTTGTGTGGGAATATCTCAACACATATGCATTCAGAAAGTATAAAGAGCACGATCTATTGTGTGCTTCTTTACTCTATCATGTTACCAGGTTGAATAACATGTTTTTGTATGCCTGAATTGGATATTGAATCCCAACATACATTTCAGTTTCGATTTTCGTGATAATAATGCCGAGGACCGTTTCGCGAAACGTCTTAACTTTGGAAATATAATAAAACAAGATTTTAAAGCACCATTTAGATCGATACATTGGGTTCGAAAGCATTTATACCAATCTACTAAAATTAGCCTATATATTATATTATATTATATTTTAGAAAAGTGAATATTATTGTTGTAGCTTAATCTTATCAATGTTCGTCTCTTCATAAATACGTATACAATAGCCCTTTATTCATCCTGGATTTCCAAGAAAACAAGTCAAAATAGTGGTCGTTATGGGAACAAAACGTGAAAAAGGCTGAATGGGGTAAAACTACTGATTAAAAAATGCTTGTTTGAGAGTCATACAAACATTTTGAGAGTAATTAAACCAATTTTTGACTTTTGGTTTCGATTTTACACCTACTTTAAAAAACTGTACTTATCGCCAAGTTACATTTTTTTTTGCTTATCAACCATCTCAGATTCCGAAAAATGCATTTAAGCTATATTCCGAATTTCGTTGAAATTGATAAATATTCAGTCACGTAGCCGAAATCCTTACACCGGAAATAACAAAACCAGACGACAGAAAATGCTTGTAGAGGTATTGTTTTATTGTTTATAACGTCTAGAAGCATTCTTTTGTGTACTAATTATTTAAATAGTCGTAGATTAATCATCGTATTTAACTACCAAGTTATAGTTATTATTATACAGGCATCCATTGAATTAATCAAATTAGGTAACGAAGAATTTTAATTAATTCTTCTAGAAATCTTATTTCTTAAATATTAAATAATATCAATACTAAAATAACTAAATAAATAAAAATTTAACAAAATCAAACAAATATCGAATCATAAAAATCTTACATTAATACAAAGACAGGGCATTTACTTATTTATGAGCTACGAAACAGATACATACTAGTTTATGTGTCCGAAAGCTTAGTGACCACAAACCCGCAGGGACTGACCACTGGCTGGTCGATAATAGCGGACCTTGAGGATTTCATTCGGTTTACCATCGGATAGAATAAACTTTTTCGTATTATTTTGGAAGATTAGTGGCCTAGCGAGGCGAATAAAAATCGCTTTCTAATTTTCTTCCCTTGTAAGGAAATCTCAATGGGTAAAAGAGCTTTTTTATTATTCCGAAAGTAAAAGGTAAACAGTACAATTTTATGAACGTTTGGTATAATAATTGAACACGTTCTTGTAAACTTGAATTACGTATACAGAGTGCTATTAGGAACAGGCAAAATAGGTCAAAAAGTATTTCACAATACGTATTAATTATTATTTTTGAATTAATGTGTTAGTATTGCCATTAGAAAACTTTATAATTATAGGTGACAGACTGGAGTGAATTTATTCTGTGAAAAAATGCCTAAAGACAATAACTTTAAAATTAAGTTGTGAGGTGCATCATGGTGTATCCAAGTCGGTGAAGTCGGTGTCATTGTAAGGAAGTGGCTCAGCTGAAAGTAAATGAAGCAAACGTCCTAGTCGAGACCACTAAAAAACATCGTCATCGCTTCTGCGACCAATATATTTTATATCTGTAGTTGTAAAATAGCTATCAGCAATTCGCACTTGATAAGCAAAATCAAAGCTCGCTTGTAGTACCCAGTTTAAACCCAGCTTAGACCTCTGGTCCTATAGGTGTTCTCCAATGAGCCTCCTTTCTTTTAATCAAAGATTTAATTAAATTGCAATGAGTGGTAATACTTTTGCATGTTCATCCTGAATGTTGCTACAGTTTTTCACCAACAGTTATTGATGTTAGTAGGGTGTACTTAAAATCGCATTTTCCTCTTTACTTTTAATTTATTTCGGCGTTTACCTACCACAACAAAATTACGTCTTCATCCGACGATATAATAAGCAAAACTAGTAACTTCAAGCAAGTTTTACCAGTGTTTTAACAAGTTTTACGTAATTTGTTTCAGTCACAAGTTTCATAAAACTTATTTCTCTAGTCTATCATCGATCTTGGGTTCCTGAAAGGGTGTTTTGCTCAATCTTCTTTCATTTTAGAATTATGCGGGTATTACCATAACACACTGTATATTCAATTAACACTAAAACTGCATTTTATTGAAAAAAATACTAATATAGAGAAATATTGTTAATTTTTTTTATCAATTTCTTTTAAATGCAATTATTCTTATTTTTTTAATATCTATCAATTGTTATTGATTAACAAACTACTTCTGATACGTTTAGAACCATAAAATTCAATGACATTTAAAATCCATTTGACTTTGCGATCCCCCATATAAGATTCACTCAAAGCCTATCAATAAAATTAATCTGGATTGGTTGGTGATTAATTAATGTAAATTCTGGAGTAATTTAGCTATTAGCTCTATTAAGGCAAATAGTAAATGGTTGAGATATAATAGAAACCGCTGATAAATACATACAGTAAGTGGTCCAACAAATGTGTTAATCAATATCAAATACAGACTGATTAAAAAGCTTGTGTATTTTGTCGGATATTGTAAATACTTTCAATTCTTTACATCTTGTATCGATTTCACTGTACAAAGTTAACTAAATTTAAATGTATCCCTGAATTCTGTTGAAAGCCGTAAAGTGATTTTTGTTTTTAAAGGGCTTCAATTAAAAATCATTGTAGATTAAATTAGATTTAGAGCTGAACCATTGTTCTCGTCCTCTCATTTAGAGTACCTACATTATTTTGCTTTGTCTTGTTTAGTAGACTTAGTAGTCTTGACAATAGCTCTCATATGTAGTTACATACACATACTCAAAAATGTTTTGCATAATAGGATATGCATTAAGTATAACGGGAAAAAAATCTGGTTAAAAAGCCTCCAGTGGCGTTCTGAATAATATTCAAAACGTTTTTTAATATGTATTTTTGGCTCAATCTAGTCAGTCTTTTACAGAGACACGGGACGTATTCTCATATGTTCTCCAATGATTTTTTGTTTTTTAACCTAATATTGGCCTCGATGATTGTTCCACCAATCCCGAGACTATTTTTGAATTTATTGTTTAATAGATGCCTTGCATAGATATATAATAAAGACTTATAGGGTTGTTTTCAAATTTTCTGAAGCCAAAACAAGTTAAAATTCCTCTTTGGCAGAAATGAAATATTCTAATTGAACATTGCTGCCTAGTTTACGGTCTTTTTAATAGTAGAAATGCAACTAGGTTATTTCGTTATCTATAGAAATATGACGTTTGGCAATAACGCAATTATAATTACTGATTTTATATAGCTAAACGTTATCTCGAAGATTTGATGGTACCCTGTCATTGCTTTCCTTGGCCATTTTTTATGATATTTGATAAATAAATCATCTTTACGAGTGTCCTCTAATCTGTAAGCATTTAATTGTCTAATTTTTTCACAAAGTAAGGCGATACAAGCATATCAGTGCTTTCATTTCCCTCGTTATTTAAAGACAGGTTAGTCTTTGTATCATTTTGTGTCTTTGGCTACCAAACCAAAGCTGCTTGTGTCATTATCGGTCTTAACTCCATGTTGTATTGGTTTTAATCCCCATCTAAAGAAGCGTCTTGTCATCACTAATGATGTTTTCGTCAATTCGTAGTGATTTGTAGATTTTTCTGTACCGCCATTCTACCGTATGCAGGGTTACAATTAGAAGAACACCGCTACGTCATAACCATTACTTCGAATTTCGAATACATTGTATTTATAACTATCAATAAATAAAAAATAAGTAAGTTGTTAGGTATAAAACAATATCTCCTAAACTCCCAGTAGACGGCGGTAACCAATTAATTACTTTGCCAAAAAATGGCGTAGCTGTGTTCTGCTAATTGTAATCGGACCTTAACTACATTATAATATAATAAGCTACTTTTACCGTAAATTTCTAAAAATTAGTTGGGAATACTTTATAATTGTCAGAAAGAATAAAATTTCCCAGAGGAAAAAAATTCTTGTTAAAAACCCTAAAAAGAAATTACTCGTATACGTTTTCGTTAAAAGTTTTTAAGTGAAACCGCCTTTTTTCTAATTAACGACCATTTCATTTCAATTTTGACAGCACATTCATTTACATTACACCGCGTTTAAATTACACCGCCCATTTCTAGACAAAACACCACTCTCCCCTTCTGTTTGACGTTAATGATAAAAAAGTGTCAGTGCAGTTATCGTCAGAGGCCTCCACATTAGAGATTCCAATTAGACATTGTTATGTCTCTTAATCCAATATTAAATACACCTAGTTTGAAAATTCGGGTATTACAGTTAAACGCGAGGGTCAAAGGGTCACTAAGGGAATCCACAAAGTTCCGAAAATAAACAATTTGTACCTATGCCATTTTGAAACGAAAATATTTTATAATATACATTCAAGCGAATAAAAAATATTAAAAGACAATAAAAATATATACAAACAACAAAGGATAAAATCACACATTAGAAACAATAAATATCCCTAATTATAAACAAATTATTTCCTTCTTCTAAAATGTTGTTTTTTTAAAAATTCTAATTTAAGAAACAGATTTAATTAAAATTGTGAATTTAATACATCGTAGATCGCAAATCGAAATCCGAAAAGTCAAAA